ATGATCACACTGGTCCCTCCTCTTCTTCTTATCTCTAAGTTTGTAGCTCTTGTTGGACAGACACACAAAGGGAGTTCTCCCTGAGACTTTGAACTGAATTACCACTTCATCACATGAAAACCTTCTGTCCTTAAGAGCAGCCCACGGGAATGTTGCTGTTTTGCTTTGATAGTTGACTTCCGCTCCATTTCCCAGGTAAAGCATTAATCCCTCCCAGCCCTCTCCTCATTTTGAAAGTCTTTAGCCACAGTTCTCTGTTAGGCTTTGAAAAGCATGTTGTAAGGAGCACAAACGGGAGATATGCTGCCTTCAAACAGCTGCTGCCCACTTCTGCATATGTGTAAAGTAGGATAAGATATGCAATTTGTAGGAACTATGATTACTGGCTTAAGAAGAAGATACAGCATTTCTCAACATTTTTGAGACATTAATACAATCCAGCCAGGCCATTTTCTGTAATGCGTGGTTCGCTGTATCTGATGTATATTTTTTTCATCTCAGACATAAAGGTAAATCCTTTTCATTTACATAAGCGGGCTCTATAAACCAGATTACCCGAATTAATCATAGATATTTAAGCATATTACATTGCTCTGTACCACAAGCTAGTATTCCTAGAAGGTGGATCAGAGATAAGGGTCCCATAAATTACTGACCAAATCCTTTAGTCCATCAGGCTTTATTTCCACTAAAATCAGTTTTGCTTGAGTAAGACCTTCTGGATTTGGCCCTGATACACTTTTATATTCATAGACCCTTCAGATACAAAGAAAGCTCCATGAAGCAGTTGTATAATTTTTTTTCTTAGTCTTAAATTTACTGTTTCAACTCAGAGTATAAAAATAAGCAGTTTTTTAGTAATGGTGCTTTTAATAATAAACAGCCATATCTCTGTCCTGCTTGGCTTTTATAAGCCTTTTAGTTTTTATTTAACATCTCCATGATGATATTTCCAGTAAATAGTTTAAATTGTGAAATGTGAAAAGATGGCTATTTTACCCTCGCTAAAATAAAGATCTGTGTACAGTTATTCTCAAATATTTTGCCTCTCTGCTTCCTAGAAGGCTCATCTGTCACTTGCAGACCAGTTGGGCAGCCAGCATGCTGTTACATATAGAAGTATAGGGAATATTCCCCACGCACGGCTCTTTTACCCTAATCAGACACTGCAGATGCATCTTGTCAAGAGAATGCACCTCATGCTCAGAAATGAAAGGAAAATGACTTCAAGGAGGACAGAGCAGCACAGCAGCAGCTGACCCCACGCAGCCCCCACAGGCAGGACTGTCAGGAGCAGGGCAGGAGGATGAGCTGCCACCCGTGCCACTGCTGCATGGATTGCTCCTGCAGCTGGGTCCTGCAGCTGCCAAGGTCAGCGGGCCAGCAGCTCCCAGGCCGGGCTGGGGGAGCAGTGCGTGTCCCCAGCCTCACCCAGCCAGGGCTCAGGGGCTCCCAGGGGCTGGGGACACGCACAGGGGGGCACATTCAGACCAGGCGTGGGAGCAGAGAGGGGTTTTCCTCACCAGCTTCCCAGAAATAACGTTTTCCCCCCTCCTTATTATTATTCTCCTTATTATTTGTTTGCTTCCTAGCTCAGTCTCGTCCAGTCAAAAATGTTTCCAGCAGAGAATTTTTCTCTACTTCTAGCGCACAGACATATGGACATACTTTAAAAAAAAAAAAAAATGTTGTTTTCATTTCAAGGTCCCTTTTAAAAAGGATTTGTCACTACCTGACACAGTCCTTACTCTGGGAGACTGCTAATGATTTCAGCAGGGTTTTTTGTGGGAACTGCTGGCTTTTATCATATATTGTGATTGCAGTGGGGTACAGCAGCATCTTTATTTCAACAAATCAGAACTCTGCATTCAGAAGAGGTTAATAGAACAAGTAGCATTAAAGTGTGTTTAAAAGGTAGAAGGATATGGAAAAAAATTCTTTTTCAGAATGTATTTTTTATATTGTGGCTTCCTTTCCTTTGTCAGAAAAGCTTCAAAAGCTTAACCCGGTCCATCCTCTGGTCTCTTTCGAAGCCCTGCAACCCTTACTTCCCCTTTGGGCAAGAAACAGGTTTTGCCAAATTGTGCCTGCTGAACCAGAGTCCTCTACAGAGAAGGGAAGCTCAATTTTTTTTTTTTTTTTGGTGATTGACAGCTTGCAAGGACAAATAAAGCTCACTTCTGCTTTTTCTTCATATCTTATTAAATATGCTGCCATCCACAGTTCGCTCAAGATTGACACAGGATTGGAGAAAGAGGTCTTGTGCTGCTCTGTTGTTTTTTTAGCAGTCCAAGATTCCCCATTTACCTGTCCCCTTCCATTTTGTCCATCTCTTCCTTTATCTTCATTGCCTAACAGGAGCTGTGATTCTCAGGTGGCTCTCTCCAGTGCTGTGGGATGCAGTGCAAGGACACTATGCCCAGAGCAGTGTCAAAAAACCACATTTCATCTTCTTTATCTCTTAATTATACACATCCATTTCATCTCTTAATTATGCTCTACCCAATGATGAAACCAGGACTGGCAGGTTTGTTTGTAGCTGGCCAGTTTTCTTCTTGCTTCCTTTTTAATGGGGTCTGCTTCAGTGCTGTGGTTGACCAGGTAATTGAGAGGAACACTGACCTTCTACCACACAAGCACAGAATAATTCCTATAAACTCTGATCTTTCTGGAAAAGGCTGTGTTGGAAACCAGGATGGGGATGGTACAATTAGTGCAGCCTGTTTCCAGTTGTCCCCATTTCTGGTGACTGAACTGAACCAAACAGGGAACAGGCTGGATGCCCCACCTGGGGGTGAGCACAGATTTTAGGACCCTGTGTCTCTTTGTTGCAGCATGTCCAATGAAAATGAGGACATGAATGTGCCAACCTCTGGGATTTCTGTGCTTTTGTAGTTCATATGCCCTTTTCAGACTCTTCTAACAGTAAATGCCCTTCAAAATTTAAGATTTTATTTTTTGTTCTGGTCTACAGGGCCTGTTCAGTTTTGTCTTTGACATTAGAGGATAATAATGAATACTGAAAATAATAGTGAAGAGACACATGTTAATCTGCTGGGGAAAGCTCAGCAGTTTCTGTGTTAATCTGGCAACAGAATTGCTTTGTGCCAAAGGTGTCCAAAATGCTGAGGCAGATACTTTTGTCATCATTTAAACTTGGGATCTTGGTCTTTGTTTCTAATCCAGTTTTCCGGGTGGCTCAGAAATGTGCCTGACCATTGTCATGCTGAGCAAGGCCTCCCCAAACAGAGAAACCCAAGCAAGCCTGCTTTGTTTTGGAAGGTCTTGGAAGTCAGGATGTCTTAATTAGTGCCTTCTTTCTCATAGCTCCTTCAGCTCTTTAAATGTAACAAAATGCAAGGCATGGGAAATGAGTTTCAGGAGATAAATATGGAAATTGAGAGGGAGGAGGGAGTGCTTATGTCTGTCCTGCACAGGTAAATGGAGTAAAAGCAAAACCCAAAAATGAATGTCTTGTTTTCAAAGCCCAGCACTTTGGTTCTCTGCCTCTCGAGCTGACAGAAGGAAGGCTGGGATAGTTCAGATGCTGATAAATTAGTTTGGATAGCACAGTGTTGTAGTTTGTGTCAGTTAGAAACTTTGAACCTAAAAACAATTGTTCAAATATTTCCTCTCTCTGTTCTGTCCCTCGTTATTCTCAGTCCCACCACTGAGATACAGACAGTTTTTCTGACTGCTATTTTAAATTCTTTTCTCTCTGTCCAGTGTTATACTCTAGCACCACTGGAGACTTCAGGATAGTTCTGATGGACTAAGCTAACTCACAGTGTATAGGCAGGAAAAAGCAGAACCACTTTTAGTGATGAGGATAATTTTTATGAAGACCAGCAATATAAAGAAAACAGTAGAGAGAAAACTGGCAGAAAGTGGTCTTGACTGGGTGTGTTTCTCCTAATACCCATTGGCAAAAGTAGAACACTGACCTGTGGGGTTTTTCTAATGAAGAGAGAGTAGGACAGGGTAGCACAACCTTAAATTTTGTGACTATGTGCAGCCTTACCATCAAAATGAAAGTTCAGTAATTCCTAGTTCACAAAGGCCTTCTGTGTTCTGAATTTTACCAACTGTGATCTTAATTTATTAGTAGCATCAATAAACTTTTGGTGGGTCGGATTTTCTATTAATTTAATCAGAACCAGGATTTTTCCGTGAGTGATCCAGGGTGCTGCCCAAAGCCAGGGTGGTTACCTGATGAGTGATCTTCTGCTGGGCTCTGCAGTCAGGTGGGAACATGAAGCTCCCTTGACAGTAGCAATGGTCACTGCAAAATGAAATCTGTAGCAGTAGCTAAACTGCAGCCATTAGATGCTATCACTGGGATTTGAAATTAAATTAAGCAGCTGGAATGCCTCCTATCCTGCTAACATCATCAACCATATCAAAGATAATCACTGCTTTTATTACTGCGAGCACAGGATGCGGCTGGAAGTAAAACTGCCGATTATCAGATCTCAGTTTAGCCAATTTTGACTTCCAGTTCAGAGATTTGAGTTGTCAAAAGGGACATTTAAAAAGAGATCAGTTCCTTTGAAGTAATAACACACAGGAGCCTGGGGGGCAGAGTCACAAAACTTCTGTACACTGGGTGGACTAAAACCACAGAAAATGCTTCCTGTTTTATAGGGGTGCAGAGAGAATATTAAAACTGCAAAAGCTGTTCAGACTAGGATGTAGACAGTCTGATGGTGTCAAGAAAAAGCCTTATTATCTCCTCTACTTTAGTGCTGTGGTAATGTTTTTTCCAGGAATATGAGGATTCAGGGAAAGGAGAAGTTCCGATTACTAATTATCTTCATATTCACATTGCTGGACTCTACATTTAGAGCTCTGCTCTGATCTCTGATGTGTGGTTGTGAATTACCACAAGCTTTGAAATAAAAAGACCCAAACACACCCTGCTGCTCTTGTGGTTGAGACACTCTGTGAAATATGCACTTAAATACCTGGAGCTGGAGTAGCAATGGGGAAAAGTCACTTACCCCCAGTTCAGTGAGGCTCTGTAGCACAGGACTTGGAACATTCCAGCCTTAGGACTCACAGGGCTCAAAAAGGCACCACACTTTTATACCGAGGAATAGTCCTGGAAGTTGAGATCTCCTGGAGAAAGATTGAAGAAAACTGAACAGAGCAGGGCATAAAGTCTAACACTGCTTATATGTATTATTGCTTCTCCCCTGACTCTCACAGTTGGAGCAGAAGGATTCAACTTCTAACAGCTTTTTCAGGTTTGAGAGGTACATCAGATTTAGAAGAAAGATAACCCAAAGTGCAACTAAATGTTTGGTATTTATGATAACCTTGGTTTAGCATCACAAAATTTTATTTCCTGTTGGTGTTAATTTGTAGTCGCAAGGGTTTGCATTTCCTGATGAAAATTTCTCTTTCAGAAGGAAAAAGTAATGTACCTCTGTCTAAAAAAATTATGTTTTGATCTGGTCAGGTGCAATCCTTTAAGGGAACAATTGGTGGAGACTGCAGGAGAAAACAGAGTCTAGTCCTTTCATCTGCAGCTGACTGTCACTTCTTACCAGGAAAAGCCTCTTAGCCTTATCAATTTTAATCCCCCAAAAGGAACTTTTGCTTGACAAAAAACCCAATTGGTTCTTTGTTTTCAGTTCACGGGCACTTTGAGGTTGGCCCAGTGTAGGATCTGGTGTGAAGCCTCCCAAGGTCTCCTCGCTGTGTCTGGCTGGTCAGGGAGGATCTGCTGGGCAGGAAGGCTCAGATTGCAACAAAGCCAGGAGAGACCTTGGAAAAGAAAGGTTGAGTTCATCAGTGGCCGTCTCAGTAGCTGAGAAGGTCAGCTCTTCTCTAAACTGTGTCAGCATCCTTGGAGAGCTGGTTAAAGAAAATAGTATCATGTGCCTTTTACAGACAGAAGGGAACAGATCCAGTGCCCTCTGAAGCTAATTCAAAGTTTCCAGTTGATATGAGCTGACACTGCCTCGCGTCACTCCTGTGCTGAAGCTGTGCATATATTCTGGGCTAAAACCCACATGGAAGGAATGATTGAGTTGTCTTAGAGTGCAATCCCCTTAAATGCAAAGCCCAATTGAGCAGGCTTTGTGTTGGGTAACTTAAAGGGCTCAGAGAGAGCAGAGCCCTTGCCCACTTACAGCTAATAGTTTTTCATTTTTATTGATGACCTCAAATATTGCTGTTTTCACCACCCCAAATAGCTTTACACTTAGCAGCCGTTCTCAGGGTCTATGCCATGAGTGCTGTGAGGAATAAATGCAAAAGAGCTGTAAGCAAGAAGAAAAATTTCTTTTCCCAGGTGCCCCATAATAGTTTTTCCCCGTGTTCTCCCCATTCTAAGTGGGTATTTTGTCTGCCTAAGGGCACCAGGGTTGTATCCCAGGCAACATTGCTCTGATATTTTTCAGTTTTTGTGGGCAGCTGAACCCCAGCAGAGATGCTCTGGCTACATCACAGCCACCCCCTTGCATGGTGGCTCTCTTAAGAAAGAAGCCAAATTTCCAGTTTGATTGTCTAATTTGTTTTTTAATAATTGAGACAGATTGCTTTTTGCCTTTGAGAATGGGTCCTTGTGTGCAGTCAGGTGAGCTGTTTGCTATCAATGTCTGCTCTAGTATCAGATAAGTAGAAAACCCCCTCAACCTGACAATTCACTTGAGAATAATCTGATCTGGTTTGCTTTGCTGTTTCCTCTTGAAGTGGACAATGGCTTTTCCCCTGTTAAAAAGTTGACACAATGAGACAAGTGTGTGATTATTGTATCCCTTTATGTCATTTGAGTAACTTGAGATAGCCGGGTGTAATGTGAGTAATCTGTGTTCACCACCCCTTGAATCTATCTGGAGTTGATTGGCGTATCTGTGCATTTTAACTTGTCTGGAAGGCTCTTATCTCCTTACTGCACAGCATCAGTTGCAAATTTTAAACCTTTCCGTTCAACTTTATGTTTAAGTGTGTTACTCTTCCCCTTTCCTCTTAGGGTCTTAGCAGGGAGCTGTTTTTTCTTTCTTTGGTCGCTGGGTTTGTTTGAAGTAAAGGCAGAGACTCCTTTAAAACAAATGAATCAGGGGAAGGCAGGTAATGCAGCTGACAGACAGGTGATCCTGATAACACCGCCTGGTGCCTGATAGACTGCCCTTGAACATCTGAGCCATTCACACCATTTTAGGCACTTAACACTGCTTCTCCACTACTGAGCAAATCATTACTTTCCATCCTGACCCATTAAAGTTAAGGCCTCCCTGTGCCTTTCGGGTGCAGCCTGTGGTTACAGGGTGATGCTGAGCAGAGCCACCCCCTGAGAGGTGCTGCAGGTGCTGTCCCTCAGTGCCTCCAAGCGTGCATGGGAGCAGGGCTTCAGTGCCAGCCCCAGGCAGTTGCCAAAGCAACCTATTTTTTTTTCTTCTCCTTCTTCTTCTTCATTATTTTTATTTTTAACCTGTGCTTCCCTTTGAAAAGACACAGATTAAAAATGAATCTTGAGAATCACCTTTCCTTTAGTGGTGTTGCACTGTAAATGTCACTTCCTTTATTTTGAGTGAAGGTGACAGAAAAGTGTGGTCTTAAGGAACAAATGTCATGCTCCGGGGAAGAGGAGAGGCAGTGAGATATGTTCTAAAGGAAGGTAAGATGCCACTTTGATACTAAATTTGTCCCATTTATGTAAGCTCAGTTTGAGACTTCACCAGCTGCCTTGGTTTCCCCTGACAGATGCAGAATCCTCTTCAGGAATGTGCAGTGATTTTGAGGTCTTAAGCATACAGACCCCCCTGCTAAATCAGAATCATAGAAAGCCCTGGATTGGAAGGAACCTTAAGGATCATCTTGTTCCAATGCCTCTGCCATGGGCAGGGACACTTTCCCCTATCCCAGGTTGTTCCAAGCCCATCCAACCTGACCTTGGACACTTCCAGGGATGGGCCAGCTTCTGACTCTCCTCACTGGCAGAAGTAGCTTCTGTCTCATCTGCTCTGGCATTTTCCTCACTGTTCTGCTATTTCATGGAAGTTTTCTCCCTTTGTGGAGCAGTGCAGGCACGTCCTTTGTCCTTTTGCTCTCTCAGCTGAGTGAGCACCAGACTATCCACGCAGTGCCCACCGGGACTGCCTTCCAGCCTCCTGCTCCTCTGCCTCATGACCCTTGAAGGATGTGGGTTACACCTGGGATTGGTGGGGCATTTAGGGTCAGTTCCCCCAAAACAACTGCCTTCCACATCCCTCCAGTAGGCATCTCTCTCTTAAAAATGTTTAATAAAATGTAGGAAGCTGTGGTGGGTGAGTGACTGCAGGTCTTGCTGCTGTCAGGCAATGTGGCTGTGTAACAATCTCATGTCGTAGTGCTCAGGTTAGGATGAGAAGTTTAAAAACCCTCCCCTATATTTGAACTCCTGAGGGTTGCTCTGATTTTCTGTTCTTTTGCATTATACACAATGGGATCATAAGCTTGGCAAATGAGAAATAAACAGAGAATACTGTGATTAAAAATGTACAATACATAGTATAACCTTGCACAACAAAATTAGTACTTTGCTAATTTAGTCCCAAAGCATATTGATTAAATGCATTTTACCACTTCAGTGTACACTGGAAAATCCAATTAATATAAAAAAAAAAGAAAATGAAAACATTCAAGTCACTGAACTCTGGATCATAAATGTTAATCCATCCTGCAGTATCTTTTGAATAGAATACACACTAATTTTCTCTCATTGTTACAGAACAGATTTCACATAAAATAATGCTGTAATTGTTTGGGGAAAAAAAAGTATTTGCCATTTGGTTTTTCCATTTGCTCCTCCTTGATTGAATTCATTAAGAAAGGATTTTTTTTTTTCAGTCCATAACAGCTTTCAGCAAAGTCTCCTTAGTTGAGAACTTTTAGAACAAAAAATGTCTACACATTTAATGTACTAGAAAAAGAAGCCTCACACAATATTCTACCATAGGTATAGAATTTGACCAAATGTAGGAATTTTTTTGGACAATGTCCATGCTCAAGATGATGGTGAGGGAAATGAGTCTTTCATATCAGCTGGTTGCCAAGAACTCAGCTTCTCCTAGGTGAATGTGAAGAACAAACTTCTGGCCAAAGGCTTTGTGCCAGCATTACCTACAGACAGTGGAAATGATGGAGTTTTTTATTTGGTACATAAATTGGGGCAGAATGTCAACAATCCAAGGTCTTTGTGTGCTGTTAGAGCCAGCATAGAAATTCCTATGTCGTCAGAGACTTGATATAAATATAAAGTTGATATAAATTCCTGCTGGAATTGATAAGGTTTGCATTCAGCACACTTAACTATAGATGAAACAATTTTCCAGCAAGTCCTGGCATTTTTATCGAGGCTTGGTGCAAAAAGGGAAACTTGGTTTTGGGAATCTCTGGTGAAGACACAAGCTGATGGAGCTGTTGCATCCATGATGGGGAATTTTTTCCAGAAAAGAGATGCTACCAATGGGATGCATCAGCTGAGTGGAATGATGAGAAATTTACCATTTCCAGCACTCTTGAACTCTTACAAATCAGTGATATTGTGGAAGGTTTTAGCTGTGGTTTGGTGTTGGGATCATATTTAGGGAAACATTTCTGAGACAGCACTTTCATTGCTTTAGCAGCACAGAATTCCTGAGGTACACATGGGAATATGTTGGTGTCCAAGGGAACGTGGGTGAGGGGGCATCCCTTCTGGAGCCTTGTGTGCAGGGAAACACCTGCAGAAATCTTCATTATTCTCTTGTCCCAGTGCCTCCCCCAAAGGCTGTGCTGTGTTGGGTACTGGCTGTTTCACAGGGAATCCATGGAAAAGCCCATGTGCACTTCACCTGCTGCTTGTGGGTGGTCTCAGAAGGTATTTTCCTCACCCTCTCCCTCTTCTTTCTTGTGGAAAGAAGAGCAAATGAGGTACTATAAAAATAAAATCTTGCTCTCAAATGAGCATTAATTCTGGCACTTTTATAAATACTTTTCATCCTCAGACAGGACAACATTTACAAGGGTAGCCCAGTGAAAGTCGTGGGAACATTATCCCATCATAACTTGTTTTTATATAAGTATGCTCAGATAAATACTGCTACATGATATATTTGGATATATCTAAGGCTTTTTTTCACGAGGTTGAT